GTAGTCAGGGGGGCTCTCCTCTCACGAGAAGAAGCGTTAGAGACAGCAGCCCTGCCGCTGGGTTTCTTGCTCTGAATTCAGTAAGCTGCTGCTCCTGCTCTTACACTGTATTTGCTGGGTACAGCCTTCTTGAAGAACCAGGGAGCCCTGCAGTTCTGTCCATTTAGGTAGGGAGACAGGTTGTGCCTTGGAGCAGTGTCTGAGGCCTGACCCCGTGGATCCCAGGCTTCTGTAGGTCTGAGGTTGGAGCTCTGCGCTCAAGTATCCCAGCAGTAATCCGTGGCAGGTGAGCGCTGCACTGCTGGATGCAGCAGCGGGCTAGAGCCAGAGCCTGAGGGAACCCGGAGTTTTTTCCCGGGATTAGCTGGGTGTCCTGAGGTCAGGCCTGGTGTTTTCCCCACCGTGGTGTTTCCTTCTGACAGGGAGACCTAGTCTCTGGTATTTTGGGGTCCACATTTCAGTTTGGGATGGTGAGTAGAGCACACAGAAGTGGAATAGTGGCTCCGCACTGGCGACTGGGCACCTGCAGGAACCCCAGAACTTTTTGAGAACTTTTCTGGTGGGGTGGGGGGGTTCTGCTGAGTGCCCTGAGGTCAGACCTGATGTTTCCTTCACCACAGGGTTTTCTCCCAAGAAGGAAACCCAATCTCTGGTGTTTTGAGGCCCACAGTTCTGTCTGGGGTGGTGAGTCGGGCATGCAGGCAAGTCTCTGGGCTGTGACTAAGTGCCTTCTGAAGCCCAGAACCTTTTCCAGGGATTGTCTGGGTGACCTGAGGTCAGTTCCGATTGTTTCCTTCACTGTGGGGTTTTCTCTCAACTGGAAAACCCAGTCTCTGGTGTTGTGGGACCCACAGTTCAATCTGAGATCATGATCAGAGCACCCATGTGTGGGCCTATGGGCTGGCTATGGAGCCCCTACGGAGACTCGGGAACTCTTCCGGGGATTAGCTGGATGACCAGAGAATAGACTCGATTGCTTTCCTTCCCACACCGTGAGGTTTCCTCTCACCTAGGAAATACAATCGCTGGTGTTTTAGAGCCCAGAGTTTGGTCTGTTGGTTGTTATGAAGTCACTGCTGTCTTGTGTCCTCTCGGTGCTGCCATCTTGGATCCCCTCTCACAATTCTTTCATAGGCACAGGTATTCCCCAAGATGACCAAGGCCTTTTAGTAGACTATTTGTTTCCCAAACCTAGGGAGCGACAGCATCATCTCCTTGCTCTAGGTGAGAAAACTAGAGCATTAAAGCCTTAGGAAATGTGCCCAATCCTACTTCAGAAGGTCAATGCAATTTTTACTCTTTCTGTTATTTGCACATATTTTAGTCAATCTTCTAAACTGTCATAATATAAAATAAGTCTTTCTGTCCCACAGGTTGATGGTGGCAAAGACAGGAAAGGAACTGGGACATGGTCAATGATTTTAGGGAATCCTTGCATGGATGAGAGCTTAAATAGCCTCACTCAGCCCCAAACAGAACTCTTTCTCCTCTGCCAAAGAATCGAAATCATTGTTGTTGTGGTGGTGGTTGTCTGTTCCTTTGCTCTGTTTGTTGTTGCTTCCAGGGGAAATGGGTGTCTCTGAGCTTTAAGGCAATTCTGGAAATGCTTTGATTTGCTGCAAAAACTTGAACTTTTCAAACCAGAGTGGACAGGGAGGCTTACCAGACATCATGGACTGGAGTACATAGAGAGAGGCAAAGGTCTGGAGTGACAGCAACAGCCTCTGCTCAGCTTGCAGAAACTCAGGACTGGTGCCCTGAGGCTGGAAACACGTGTGAATGGAACATTTAATTTGAGAGTGCAGCGATTTGATTAGGTACACAAAGGAGCTGTGTGGATTAATTGAAGAAGAACTGGAATATCAGCTTTGGGAATGAACTTCAATTTCATTGTGGGTCCTAGATGAAATGATATTGCCAGTATTGGCTGTGTTTCCAATGATTAAATATTTATGAAGCAGCTTAGTTTACTAAATATAACATTTAACATAGCTTCAATTTCTTTCTGCCCTTTCTTTCAATCCCTAGAGCGAATGTTTTCATAGCCTGGCCTCTTAGAACTCAAAAATTATTGGAAAAAGCTAAAATTGTAACTAGTTTGCTCCCCTTATATCATTCCCTCAACTTTCCTTTTAAAAACCAAGCGAACAAACACCACAGCATCTTGGGACAGCACTGTTCAAAATGGCTGCATTTGATCTCATTGCTTTATTCTCCTTTGGGCGCATCCTGCATGGAATTAAAAATATAGCACTATAATAAATTGAGAGAAAATCGGGCCGCTCTTGGGATCCTGCACTTGCTGGGTAAATGGAGATGTTCAGGAATGCTTCACAGGGCCCCTCAAATTTATTCATTAAAACGCTTTACAGATTGCATTTTGTAAGTTACTGAAAGTGAGCAGTAGTTAAGTTTTGCAGTCCTTCCTTCATTCCTAGTTAGGTGGAAGCAAATGGAAGAATGGAATCTTATCAGTCAGTTGGATCACAAATTTGTGATTAGAATTTAATAATGGAGCACTTTTTTTAGGCAGACTCCTGCTGATAGATCAAAGAATAAACTCTGGGTTCCATAATATTTACATACTGATAATAAGCATTATTCATTATACGGATACTTATTTTTGGCTTTGCATTTTAAAATTAACATGTTAAATTTCATCATGGCATCTTCACACAAGCATGTCATCCACTTTGCTAATGTTCACCCCCATCTCCTCTCCTCTTCTCTTGCCACTGCTGACTCCTCCCCTTCCCCCAATGTTGTTCCTCTTCAACTTTTATGTGATTTTTATTTTCAAGTTTTAGACTTCATATGTACAAGAGAACATGTGCTATTCATCTTTTCAAGTCTGAGTTACCTTAACAGTATGATCTGACACATGCAACACAAACATATGTGTATGTATTCATCAGTTGATTGGACCTAGGTTAAGTCCACATCTTGTCTATGGTGAATATTGCCATTTAAAAATTGTGTGCAGGACTCTCTGTTGTATTCAGACTTGGATCCCATCAGCCATACACTTGGAACTGCCATAGCTGCACCATATGGTATTACAGTACTAGCATTTTGAGGAACTGATTTCCATAGTGGATATACCCGTTAACATTCCACCAGATGTCCCCCCCATCCTTGTTGACATTTACTCAAACACTTATCAAACTCCTGGTCTTCAATAGGCATTAGGGTAGGTGCTAAAGGGAGAGAAATGCTTGAGTGAACCAGAGTCCTTCCCAAACCTCGCTGTGAAATGAATGTGCTTGAACTAGATAGAAGGGGGTGGAATGATGCCACATGCTTATATATTCAAATCTCTCATGTTTATCCAAATACACCTTAACTTCCTTTTTAATTTCATGTCTGTAATATACACCACTCACATATTTTCCTATTGTCATTCTGATATCTTGTTTCAATAGAAACACTTCAAACAGTCATGGGTATATATATATAAAAGGGCACTCAAAATGCCTGTTATACGACTGTCTACAGATTGGGAAAGGATCTTCATCAACCCTGTATCTGACAGAGGGCTAATATCTAGTATATATAAAAAACTAAAGAAGTTAAACAGCAACAAATCAAGTAATCCAATTAAAAAATGGAGTACAGAGCTAAACAGAGAATTCTCAATAGAGGAATATCGAATGGCAGAGAAACACTTAAAGAAATGTTCAAAGTCCTTAGTCATCAGGGAATGCAAATTAAAATGACCCTAAGATTTCACCTTAGACCCATCAGAATGGCTAAGATCAAAAACTCAAGAGACTAAGATCAAAAACACATGCTGGAGAGGTTGTGGAGAAAGATGAACCCTCCTCCACTGCTGGTGGGAATGTAAACTTGTACAACCACTCTGGAAATCAATCTGGCACATTCTCAGACAACCAAGAATAAAGCTTTCTCAAGATCCAGCCATACCATTCCTAGGCATATACCCAAAAGAGGCTGAAGTACACAATAAGGACATTTGCTCAACCATGTTTGTAGCAGCCTTATTTGTAATAGTCAGAAGCTGGAAACAGCCCAGGTGCCCCTCAGTGGAGAAATATATGCAGAAACTGTGGTACATCTACACAATAGAATGTTACTCAGCAATAAAAAAACAAGGAAATCATGAAATTTGCAGGTAAATGGTGGGATCTGGAAAAGATCATCCTGAGTGAGCTATCCCAGAAGCAGAAAGATGCACACGGTATATACTCACTCATAGAGACATATAATATACTAAAATCTGTACACCTAAAGAAACTAATCAAGAGGGAGGACTCTTGCTAAAATGTTCAAATTCCTATCCAGAAAGGCAAAGAGGATGGACATCAGAAAAGAGGGAACAAGTCAGGAGCCTGACACAGAGGACCTCTGAAAGGCTCTGCCCTGCAGACTATCAAAGCAGATGCTGAGACTTATGGGCAACCTTTGGGCAGAGTGCAGGGAATCTTAGGAAAGAAGTGGGAAACAGTACGATCTGGAGAGGACAGGAACTCCACAAGGAGAGCAACAGAACCAAAACATCTGAGCTGAGCACAGGAGTCTTTCCTGAGACTGATACTCCAACCAAGGACTATGCATGGAGATAACCTAAGCTCCCTGCACAGATGTAGCCCATGGCAGTTCAGTATCCAAGTGGGTTCCATAGTAATAGGAACAGGGACTGTCTCTGACATGAACTGATTGGCCTGCTCTTTAATTACCTTCCCCTGAGGGGGAAGCAGCATTACCAAACCACAGAAGAAGACAATGCAGCCACTCCTGATGAGACCTAATTGACTAGGATCAGAAGGAAGGAAAAGAAGACTTCCCCTAACAGTGGACTTGGGGAGGGGCATGCATGCAGAGGGTGGAGGAAGAGAGGGATTGGGATGGGAGGAGGGAGGGAACCACAGGGGGGATACAAAGTGAATAAAGTGTAATTAATAAAGAATTTTAAAAAGATTTTTTAAAAAGCCTGTTATAACCTAATTGGATAAATTAAGACCTCACAGTCCAGGTCTTACCTGTTGGATGCTCTCTAGCCTGAGATGAGCTTTGGCTTCATCCTTGGTGAGGAGAATGCAGTTCCACGGGGACCACTCCACATTCTTATCCCACCTGACCAGGACCAGGTCATTGAGGTCATCCCAGGCACTGAGGATTGACTGGGATGCCCAGATATTCTCTGTCAAGTACTTAATATCCTGAAGCTACATAGCAAAAGAAGGTCAAACAGTACTTTTATTTTCTGATCAGAAATGGTTTAAACATCATCGTATTAACTAGAAAGATAATTAAATCATGAGGAATGAATTCTTAATGGAGAGCACCATTCCCTTATTGTGCCGCAGCCCAAACTTTGTCATCCTTCAACATCACCCATATGCAATCTGCTATCAGACGCCTTGCTCCCGACTGTGGCTGCCAGTCTCTTATGGCTAGGATGCTTTATCATCCTTGCTGTCATTCTTTTTAAACATCTGCCTTCTTTTCTAGGATGTGCTGTCTGATTCACCAGTGAATCTTCAGAGGATAGTACAGAACTTAAATACCAAGAATACATCTCTTCCTGAAACTCATAAACACAACTGCCATCTGCTTTAGGAAATGCTATGTAATATTTCCCATACAAATCTATGTTCAAATGCACTGCACATTATGTCAATACAGCTCCCTCCGTAAGACTCCTTAGAAAACAGCCTCTCTGACAGATACGTTTCAGGAGCACAGCTGTTGTGTCTGCATGTGTGGTCTGTGCAGTGTCCACAGAGGCCAGAAGACGGCATCCTGCCATTGGGACAGGAGTTAGAGACTTGGATGTTGGCATCTGGGTTCTGGGAACCGAATTTAATCTGGTGCTTTGGGAAAGCAGCCAGTGCTCTCACCCAGTGAGCCATCTCTACAGCCCCAGACACATTTCATGTATCAGCGTCCTTCAAAGATCATACCTGCATCAGAAAAGCAATCTGCGAGTTATCCCCATAGGCAGATTCTGAGTGGTAGAGCCGCTGGAGCAGAAACTTGTACTTCAAAAATGATTCCCGCTTCTGAGTCTCGTTCTCAAGGTTCACGCACTGGCGGCAGCGGTACACCCGCTGTAAGGTGGGCGACACAGAAAACTCTACAGACGGCAAATACAACTGGCAACTGTGGCAAAAGTAAATCTTGTCATAAAACTTCAGTGGGTCTTGAGGGACCTAAGTAAGAAAGAAAGAGAGAGAGAGAGAGATGACAATCCAAGCCACGTACTAAGCAGAGTATGAGCAGATTAACGTCCTATTCTGTATAACATTTAAATTCGCAGAAAAATCCACTTTCCTGGCCAAAATATTAAAGAATCTGTGTCGCTCACCAACCCCCAGATAGACATTGGTAGAGTATTTAGAAAATCAAGTTACTGAGTCTTAGCACATTTTAAAAAATATATTCTCTTCATCTAACACTGGGAACAAGGGATGGTTATCTACACTCAGTGATCTCATTCGATTTTAGATTGAAAGATGTTTCCTGTGTGATAAGGAAGGAAAATGAATCAATTCAAGTGGAAGAGCCAGAGGGTAACATTTGTCTCCTTGAGGTTAGCCTAAGAGCTCGGCAGAGGCTGTCGGGCTGTCTTTTCATCAGTGATGTTTCCAGTGAGAAGCCTATGGTCATTCTTATTTTTGTCCCAGTGTATACAAGCTGCTCTTTCTCCCTGTCCAGTGGTATATGGCTTGGTCATTTCCTTTGTTCCTTAACTTCGTGCTTCACCGACTTCTCTTGAGTCTAAAGGTTTACTTTTTTCATCAAATTCAGGAAAATGGTGGCCATTATTTTAACAAAAATTTTCCTCTTTCCTTCACTCTCCTCAAGTTGAGACTCTGACATACACTAAGGTGCTTGAATTTTTCCCACAGCTCAGTGATGCTTATAATGGTTTTTATTTTGTTTCTCTATGTCATTGTGCATAGTTTTTATTGTGGTCTTCTGTTCAGTGATTTTTTTTTTCTTCATCAGTGTCACCAATTTCCATTTAATTTAAGCAAGTGTGGGGTTTGGGGCTCAATTTTTTTTTATCTTCATCAACTTCACAATATATCTTCAGTGTCTTCACTTGATTTTTGGACATCTAAAAAAACTTTTAAGAACGGATCAGATGTCTTTTTTAACTAATTCCAATATTTGTCAGTGTTAGATCAGTTTTGAATAGTGATTTAGCTACTTGTTTTATATATCACATTTTTGTATGTGTCTCATGTTTTTGGGTGCTAAACATTGCAATTTTACCTTAATTGTAAATATCTTTATTCCTATTAGTAGCCTTATACATTTTTTTCTGAATCTGTAAGTTAAATGCACAGTTAAATTATGTATAAAAGTTTGATCGTTAATGTTTTGATTTTAAGTTTGTGGTTTTTTAATCAAGAACAAAGCAGTTATCCGTTTGGAAGTAATTATTTCCCCTACTGAGTCAGTCCCCTGCCACGTCTGCCACTACCCGGCGGATGGAAATGATCGGGCTCCGGAACAAGCAGCACAGAACCAGCTTCGGGTTAAGTGGTGAGTGTTGTTACCTCTTACCCTTTTAGGTGCACCTTTCTTTGACCTTGAGTGTTATCCCTGCATCAGGCACTGAGCAGAACTCGGCCGAATGTGTAAAAGGAATACTGAAATCCTGCGGAGCTCTTCCTCTACAATCCACTTATTTTCAGCCCTGTGTATTTCAAGCTTTGGACACAGGGGTCTCAGGGACAGAGACAGGCTCATTCTTTCCGTCCACTTTAAGGACTCCAAAGCTTGTTCTTTACTGTTGAGCACAGGCTCTGCTTCAGAACAAATAGAACTACCTTGGGCTTATTTCATTTGTTTCTCTTCTTCCAGGGATCATAATCATCCACTGCCTTATGCCCAGTGTCTTAAAAGCATTGTTTTAACTTTCTTTTCTTCAAGCAGGTAGGCTAGCCCATGTTGGCCAGAAATTTAAAAACTGATATCCTATAGGACAAAGAAGTTGTGACATTTCAGTGAACTTTTTTTTTTCCTTTGGGTTGTTTGTTTGTTTGTTTGGCTGGCTGGCTGGTTGGTTGGTTGATTTTTCCAGACAGGGTTTTGCTGTGTATACCTTGGCTGTCTTGGACTCACTTTGTAGACTAGGCTGACCTCTAAATCACAGAGCTCTGCCTCCCTCTTCTTCCTGAGGGATTAAAGGCATGTTCCACCACAGCTGGCCTAAGAGTTGTCTTAAAAAAACAAAACAAAACAACAACAACAACAAAAAAAACCCATGCAAACAGTTGACACAACTAAACAAGAAAATGGCCTTGATGACTATTTAGGTCCAGTCCCTTGGTGACTAAAAAGGTATAAAAATACAATAACTCAAAATGATTCAAGGTCCCAGTTATAAAGGAGTGGGGGAAAAATCCTAGGATAAAACAGAAGACAGTTGTTCTCTGAAGTGAAAAGATAAGAATAAAAGTCTACATCTCTTGACTGTCTCTATATCAGGTGTCTGAACTGTGACATATTGAAGCATGGGTGAGTCTCAAACGCAGTGAGTGGAATGACTACTTGTGATTCCCTGATAGAAGTATTACATTTATATGACATTCTTGTAGGCAACTCCAGGCTAGCCCGTGTTGGCCGAAATTCAAAAAGTGATATTATATTACATAGGACAAAGAAGTCATGACATTTCAGTGAAGCTATCAAAATAAAACATAAGTCAGCATTACTGAAAGTTGGCTAAGATCTGACAGCAGAGCTGTTCTTTGAGGACTAAGTTTTATCTGGTCTGTATTGTTAGCTATATGACTTTATGTATTATTAAAATGTACCTGGAAGAATGAATTTTTATCAAAAAAATTTCAAAAACAGTAATATAACATTATGTAATGACATAGAGTATCAAATTTTCTTATTATATTGTTGTAAATATATATAAATAAAAGAACTTAGACACATAAAAACTAACTGAAATAATATACTGGAAAAGTTTTCTTCCAGCCTTTTGAGCAGCATAATCATTTTTAATTAATTAAAAAGTATGAACAGTGAGCACTTTCAAATTTTTTTAGATATTGTTTATATTTTGAGAGTTTTGTTTTGCCAAAAATCTAAAAGATAGTCAGCTTCCTAGATTATAATTCTAAAACTAATCCTACAACTGTAACTCTTTAGTGAGTGAAACTTCCCAATTTACTAAAAGTGTTTCAACTGGTTTTGTAAGAAAATAATGAGGCATGCATATCCCTCAGAAACCTAATCATACTGGTGTGAGCAGACAATTTAACTCAAATACATTTGAGTTCCATTTGGCACTCTTCAGGCTGGGTTCATAGATCCAGTCATTAATACTTAAGTTAGCATGGTAAGTGCTACAGACAAGGCCCACTGGGAGAGTTGTAAAAATGGAAATGCTAACTCTCTGTGATGCCTAATGAGAGAGAAGGATCGAAAGCTTGATTTTTGAAAACGAACAGGAGTTGGCCAGATCAAATAGATCATGTCATTGAAAGTGGGAGCAACAGTCGGTTCGAAAGGCGGTGTGAGAGATCACAGCGCCTTCAACACTGTGCAACAACTGGAGAATCCGTTCAGCTCTTAGAAAAGAATTCAAGGCTGGAGATCATATACGGAAGAGGTGAATGGGAAGGTTTAGTTTGTCAACACAATAATAAACCCAGAGAGCTCACCAGAGGGTGACCTTACTCAGATTTGCAGTAAAGCACAGAAGCAAACTTTGAGTATCTTTCCATTAACAATGTAACACCTTAGGATTTTGAAAACCAGAACAGTAAGCAGAGTACCTTAAGGTATCTTGCAACTTCAGGGTTGAACAGGGGGGTTTTGATGTAGTGAAAAAAGAGTGTTGTAATTCTTTTTCTGAGTCCTTCAAGATTTTGAGGTTTGACTCCCCTCATCATGAGGTCAACTTCTCTGTCAATCAATTCTAGGATTTCTTGGGTCAGTTTACACTCATGTTCCTATGGGAAACACAAAAGAATTCAGTATAATTACTTTAAATCATTATTTTTGAAACTACCACCCAAACAAACTGGAATCGACATTCCAAGACATCTGAAAAGGAGACAGGAGTAAAATCTGGTACAACCAATTAGGAGCCAAACTTAGTGTTAAATAGTTGGTTGGATAATGTGTAATGTATGACCCAGCAATTCTCTGCAAAGGTGCTTTAGAGACATGTATCTATAGAGCTACTGTTCACAGCAGCCAAAAGTTAGAAAAAAATCTACTATTTGTAAGCAAATTCAATAGATAAATAAATCATAGTTTGTCTATATAATGCACTTTATAGAAATGAGTAAAACGTGTGATTGCTGTAGGTCTCAATACTTAAATCTTACAAAGTCAGCAAAACAAACAACATATGACCCAGGGCAATGTAATTTCACTAAAGGTCAAAGGCAAAAACACTGGACCAAATTATTCCTAGGCTTATATAGAAGAATCAAATCATTAAGAAAAGCCAAGAGAAAGCTGCCCCTGAAAATGGCTGTCCATTGGTGATTGCTTCAAGGAGACTAAATGAAGTCTAAGGTGAGGAAGCAAACGGGTACAAAGGGTTACAGAACAGATGAATAGTTTAGCAATGTTGAATCGTCCTGTTCAACGTTGTCAAACTGTTTATATACCCACATTTCTATTATTTCATCAAACACTTTTTAGTAAAGTACTAAAGCCGAGTTGTTTGAACAAGAAAACTTTAGATTAGAGGTAAGGGCGTAGGACAGTAAAGCAGAGCAGTCCATCCCCTATCTGGGGGGAACTGGATGGGATGGTACACAGCTCTCATGGAGGACACAAAGGGTAGAGAGGGTGACTGGAAAACAACGCTCTTTCATCTTTTTCATACTTGGTAATGCTAATAAATCAAAGAGTTGAAATTAGTGATGACCGACCCTGAACGCATTTTAGAACGGCCTTGGAGAAATCTGAATAGATTTTCATTAATCTTGCTTTCATGCCTAATTTAGCTTCTCTGAAATAGTGTCTAGACCGTATTCTTACTTATAGAGTCACATACTCATTCTCTCTCTCTCTCTCTCTCTCTCTCTCTCCCTCTTTGTGTGTGTGTGTATGTCAATCTGGTCTTTACATGACCCCTATTTCTTGCTTCTGCACCTTTGCTCCTGTTTTGCTATCTAAGGAGGTTTCCATCAAGGCTGTTTACAGCACCTTGAAAGACAGATATACAGACAGATAGCCTGTGAGCCAATTACCTAACTCTGTAGTGTGTCTTAAAACCATTGCATGTTTGGATGCTGATTCTTCTCAACAGGAGAGCTCTTTGTAATTAAGAGACAGAGAACCTATGGGGGTAGGTATCTACAAGTTATGACTTTTAAACTCTGAGGGTGGGGGGAGGGGGAAAATTAAAAAAAAAAGAAAATTCTCAGGCTTTTCATCAGCGGCACAGTTAGATGGAGTTAAATACAGACAGTATTTTTCCAGTTATTATATTTAGTGAAACACTGATTTTTTTTTCTTATTGAAATGTCTATACACACTTGTTTGAAAAGCTGGGGATCACATTGATGGCCAAACCGACTGACCACACGGTTATTCAATCCATTGCTTTGTCCAAACATTAATTAGTTCGTATAGATGACCACTCCTAAACAAATTATATCTTTGTGTCACAAAGGGAGAAACTGCCAAGAACTCACCTTCAAGAACTCAGAAACACAACTTAGAAACTGAACATTTTAGCTGAATTCCTTCATTCAATTTCCTGGCAATGCCAATAACGTATGCCCAAGAGCACCTTCATTCTGAGCTGTCAAACGCAAGAGCACTACAGCCCTGGGGATGCTGGAGTGTTCCCCGGGAACAGGGAAAACACACACCTTTCAGCAAATGGAATGTGATACCCAGAGTCCCTATGCGTCAGAACTGCTAGCTTTGACCTGTGGCAGGTGACGAGTCTTTAGTAATTCTCTCTCTCTCTCTCTCTCTCTCTCTCTCTCTCTCTTTCTCTCCCCCTCTCTCTCAGATTGCCCATTTCTGAAACACAGTCATCTTGGCTGAATAACTACTATATTATCTCCCAATCCAGCCTCACCCAAGGCCATTGTGTGGACATCATCTCAGGGGCTTGGGGAGGCATTCTAAATCAAACACCTAATCAATAAGGGAGAAAAGCAGTCCCATGGTTCCATTTGAACCAGGAGTAAACGGGAATGAAAGGCAAATGTCTGGCCTAGGTCCAGCTCTCGGCAGGTTCAGAGAGAGATCCAGAGTTCATTAGGCTGCTCAGTGGTTATGTCATTGGAATGGGCTATGCTGGAGTTTTGCTCTTTACTGTCTTGACCTGTGAGGTCCTAGCTAGTGTGACCAGGAAGACTGTGTGGAAACCTCTGGAACTGACCTTACCTGGGTGGGGAGGGAGGCTAGAAGCAGCCCCCTTAGTCCTTACGAGATACTTGGGCAGTGCACGTTTAGAGGCCCCAATTCCTGGGTAAACGTACTTCCAGCAGAAGAAACACTCTTCCTTTGAGCTCTAACTAATGCTCCTCAAGTCAGGAGATCTGAAGAGGACGGTGCCTACATCTGATTTCCAAAAGACATTAGAGCTGCCGTCACCCACTGGGGATAAGAAATCACGTGCTTGGCACTCAAGTCTGGGCGTTTCTTGGTAAACACAAGCGTGAACTTGAGAGAATAGCATAGCACGGGGTAGTCTAGGGCTCTGAAGGCGTAAGCCACAGAAAGGAAGGTTGTGAAAACAATCAGTGCTGATCCAACGTGAGGACACGCTAAAATGAGTAGAAGAGAAAAAACAGGGGGAAGTCAGCTGTAACCTTGATCCGGAGAAGTACGACAGAGTCTGCACTTTGCTCATGAACTTCACGACTATGGTTTTATTAAGGGGGAAAAAAAAGAGCTATCCAGATCGCGGGAACTGTGCGTCGGCGCAGCGGAGCGTCTGTGCAGCTCTCCCTCGCCGCCTCCTGGTGCGTCATGGGAAGGCAGCTCTCCGGTCGGTCTCCTTGGAGCGCAGCCTCCAGAGACACCCTTAGGTTTAATTCAACGGAACAAGAGTCCTGCCCCGTGCCCTGACACCGGGCTCACCCTCAAGGCAGGCCCACCTTTAAAAATCTGGTGAAAACTGACGCGTCCCAATGATCCTGGAGTTTTCCTCTTCCGAGAGCAGGTATTTTTCCTATGAGCTTTCTGTACTTAAGTATGACCTGGGAAACTTCTGAATTCAAACCCGCCTCTAAAGTCAGTTTCCGGAGGAAGCCAGACCCCATGACTACCTTAATTTTCATTTCAAAGCAGGAATTTAATAACATGGGAGGGGGGAAAGGCAAACACAGTTGCACTGATATGGCTTTACAACCGCTAAAAACAGGGCTTCGGGTTGGCTGAGTGTTGTTAAGAGGGTTTGAATGCAAGCATCAAGACTTGACTTCCATCTATACAGCTCAGAGGCAGGAAGGAGAACACCAGTCCTGAAAATTACCCCGTGACCTACCTCAGTGTGTGCACTGTGACGTACGTGCACCGACACACACACACAAACAATAAAATAGATGTTTTAGTAAAATAGATAGAATGGAAATTTTAATGACTAAAAATAGTTTTCATTGGAAACCGTCCAAAATGTAGACAATAATTGCTGTTTCTTAATCCCATTTTAAAAATCATGTTCTATACCTACATGGCTATGTAAAGATGAATTTTCATTTGAACACACTATGTTCACATTTTATTATAGCATCGAAAAATATTTATTTAATAATTTGCAGGGCTGCAGATCAGACCCATGGCTTTGCACATGGTTGTCAACAATATAGCACAGATTTTGCGGGCTTTTGGTTAAGCATTGATTCATAAACCATTTCTATCCCAAAATTTACAAAACTAACTTAGCTGTTTACAAAATGTAATGTACGCAAGGATTTATTAATAATCACATCATTACATGATGAAAAAGAACTTTGTTGCTTCCAGTGTGCAGCTGAGCTGATCTTTTACTGATGGAGAACTTGACTTGAAAGCCGAGGGAGAGTTGACATACCTTCACTGTGTGCTTAAGCGTCAGGAGGATGTCCAGCCGCTCGTCCTGAGAAAGGTCTTTCATCATGATACAGTTGTAGATGCCCCGCAGCTCTCTAGCTCTTAGGGTGAACTGTGTGTCCATCTCGAGAACAGAGCCGTCAGGTCTTCTCCAGACCTTTGGAGCTGAACACTTGGAAAGAACAACATTGTTGCAATCATGGTTACTCAAAGACTGAAACTAATAATTTTGTCCCATCCACTAGAAATCTATCTTCAGTCATAACTGAAAAGCATCACTAAACTTTAAGAAAGACAATTAAAGAATGTATAGACCACGAAAAAAGCAAAACATTACTTATCTACCTGTTCATCTTTGAAGAATTACATACTGAACTGTTTTTGTTTTTGTTTTTTATGCTAGGTAAGGATTTTGCTGTTGAGGCCTAGACTCGTGGTGCCCTGGATTAAAATGCTTTACCAAGGGCTGGAGAAGGTGTGTACTGCTCTCACAGAGGACCCATGCTCTGTTTCCAGCACCCTTGTCGGGAGGAGAAAAAAGACAGAGTAAGACATTGTTGGACTTCACTGAACACATCATGTAAGCACGTGTGATGAGGCTTGGGGCTGGAAAGATGGCTCACGAATTAAATAAGAGTGCCCAGTGCTATCATGAGAGGTCCTGTAAGACCTGGGATCTCACAGCTCAGGAGTTCAAGATAGAGCCCTTCCCAGAAACTCCCACAGACCACGACTTGTTGCAAAAGCAAGAGGTTTATTAACCATTGCACAATGGGGTCACCCCTGCCAGTCAGCAAAGAGTGGCAGCAGGAGACAAAGACCTTAGGTTTTAAAAGAAAAATTTCGGGAAATTTGAAGTTGCAGTCTTGGCAATTTAAGATTGGACGAGGAAGCTATCAAGTAAGATAATTGGTTAGTCTTAGGTGCTCAAGCTTGGCCAGTCCTGCCAAGTGTGGATGCAGCTGCAATTGAAGGTGGGGGTAGTTAGCTCATCCTTGAAGACTGGATCTGCGGACTTTTGGCTGGAGGTCAGGAGCTACTCAGAAGGATTGAGGCCATCTGGGTTGGTTGCTAAGAAACACTATCTGGAAGACAAGGGTCTGGTCCTTCTTTTTGCTGAGTGAAGGTCATTGCTTGCTCGCTTTTTTTCTATCTGTCCTCACAGATAGGGTCACATTTCTCCATTCTCTGGGTACTAAGAGGCTTTAGCTTGACCTGAACCTAAAACTCAAAACTATAGGCTTTACAAGACATATAGGTTACAAAGTTAGTCTAACCCTTTCAGTCCCAGATTCAGATCAGTCCCAGCGTGTATGTGTGTGTGTGTGTGTGTGACAGCTCATCATTTACTCCTAGATCCAGTTCTAGAAGATCTACATCTTCTAGCCTCCACAGGCTCCTGCACACACATGCTATACATAAAACTCGTGAACATTAGCTAATTGAAAAATTAAATCTTTTACTAAACAATAAAACGTGCCTCTGTAGCACAGAAGACAAGCTCATCAGGCAGGCTGATTATTCAGTCTGCAGAAAGGAAAACACATCTCCAAGATGGAGAGTTGGGGGGATGACTGGCATGATGGATAGCTTAATTTATATTACTCGTTGACTCCATAGGGAGGGAGAAGAGTATACATTTGGCATGTTTTGTGTAGGGCTCCTGGCAGTGGGCATGGGGACGTCTTTGACTCTGCGTCTGCTCTTGGGACCCTTTTCCTCCAGGGTGACTCTCACTGTACTTAGCTCTGCTCTGTCTCGCCCTATCGAGGCTTTAAGAGCAGAGGATCTGGCCAGGGATCAGCCAGGGATCAGCCAGGGATCACTTGCTATTTGTTTCTCTTTTGCTTCGGAGTAAAAAGCTGTTCTGTGTCCTTGCCTGATTACAGTCCTTCAGAAACAAGTCTGTGTCGACCACAATTACTGGCTTTTCAGATAGTAGATATTTCTGTAGGCTAATTATTCATTGCTTTGGGCTTCTTGTTTCCTGATTTATGCCCTAACTGCAACCATTTAAAACTTAGATGTGGTTTAATTTCCAATTTAGGTGGAATTCTTTATGTGCCGGAGATTATTAGAAATTATTAGAAATTCATAGTGATACCACACTACATTTAGAAGAACAGTTTACAAAGAAGTTTTTAGTTGCAGCATCAATCTACCTCCATTGTTTGCATGTTATATTGAAAAACACAGTCTCCCTTACCATTATATTTGATACATTTTCAAAACAACAGTATCATTACAGTTATAGGCAAAACAAAAGTTGCTTAGAGCTAGTAATGTCCAGTAAGATCTTCAGATTCTTGGTTCAAGTTTTGATCTGGCAAATGCTGTGGCACAATGAGTGGTTTATAATATCACCTCAGAGGTAGAGTAATAGGTAATGTTAGTCACACAACTGATAGGCTAGAGTTGAGCTAGCTGAAAAGCTATATAACAAAATGGGTTAGTCAGAAGACATTTTAATTGTTATCACTTAGAAATAATGCACTTTCACAAATCAAAGAGCCTTACATTGAGTATTTTGCTCAAGTATGATGCTTGTTTTTAAAGTTCATTTTTAAAATATTTAAAAAATAATTAGGCTAAATTTCATACTATCATATTTTCAAGTCTAACTAATATCTTGATCTTCATTTGCTAATTTCCTCAGCAGGGTCCTACAAAATGTAATTTCTTTTCTACCACTGGTAAAGACAATATCTTTTACTCTGCAGGCTGATAACTTATTTAATTTGTAATGATCCTTCTAACAACATGTTTCTGAAATGCCTACTTAATCTAATTTATTGTGGGTTGGCAGTCGGTATACTGTTTAATTCTACTCCCAAATGTTTATCATGATTGCTGGCTTTTTTTTTTTTTTTTTTTTGGCTTTATTGAATACAAGATACCAAGACAATTGCTTGGGGTTTTTCAAATGCACATCCAAATCCTTCTAACTCTGAAACCAACATTCACATTTTCCAAAAAATGCTTTCTTGTGGTGTAGCTGGAATGTATATCGTCACATAGATTTGAAATCATTTTACAGTCATAAACACACACATGTGCCCACAACACACAACCTAGTGTCTACATTTCAGTAACTCGTGGCAAGGGAAATTGGCTCTCAAAAACTTTATGCCTTTAAATTTTATTTTTCTGAAAGGCTATAAAAAGTAAATTTTTCATATAATTCTGTATATTCCACAGGGTCTACAGTACTCATCTGTTCATTTAACAAATATTTATTGTGCCTACTATACATTAGTCAGTGCCCTTGGAACTGAGTAAATAAAATGCTATCCTGATTTCAAAAGCTCTCAAATCTTATAGGACATAAAGGTAAGAAAATAACTAGAGAGGGAACCTGGCTGATAGAGCTGCAGATAGACAGGTAAAAGATGGGCTGTCTATAAAGCACTTAACTCTTAAGAAGAAAGCAGTACCTATGATGAAACCAAGAAAATGAACAGGAGTTAGCCAGATTAGAGAGAACTGAATGATATAATCACATAATCCTTCATATGAAGCTCCAGCTCCCAAGAGCTGGCTCAGAGAAGATATATATATATATATATATGTTCAGCAAAGCTGTTTTTATCTTTGGCTGTCCTTCTGCCAACACTGATAGCTTCATCTTCAAGTACAGGCTTCTTTGATTTCAGGCCTTAAGGTATTTTTTTTTTTTTTTTACTCTGATGCAGGAAAATGTCAACTTTGCTTATTTCTCTTTCCTCGTTCCCTTTTTCTTTGAATGCTTTGGCTATAATAAGAGATATACAACAATCATGTTCTTAAATTGCTTCAAGAATAGAAGCATAATAAATTCTACTTAGCTGCCAACAAATGAGATGGCAGAGGCTGTGGAACAGAGCTACAGAAGAACAGCAGGACAGGAAGGGAAGGTGGAGAGACAAAAGCCTGGCAAGCAGCAGGCCTCCCCATGAGGAGGCAAAAATGGCTGCAATGGGAGAATAGATCCTTTCTTCCTCCTGAATTAATTTTCATGTCCCCAAGGGGACATAAAGTTGAGCCCCTCCCAAAGCCACTGGGTAGTGATCAACTTTTCTTTTATTTGGCAAAGAAGTTTTATTCCTCCACAGTGACCCCCTGGTAAATAGATGGATTGAAGAGAGAGGGGTAGCTGCATTTTTCTATCCTGTTAGCTATTGGCCACCTGAGCATGGAGAAAAAAAAAGCATTTGCGTGGAACAGCTCACTTAAATTACAGGTTTGTTTTTTTTTTTTTTAAGCCTGTGATTGTGAGAAATGATGTATGAATCAAGGAAACAAACAGCCTCAACTCTAGGGATAACCTCTTACAGCAATTTCTTCACGTAGTTTGGTAAAATACACCCAAAATATTAAAACCAGAAACCCACTGGTGACCATTAACTTAGATGTCATGAACTAAATTCATTTACTTCAGTCAATCTGTCTCTTCTTAATGCCTGACAACCCGGAGAAGTCAGTGTTCAATGTGGTAAATTACAAGTTAATTAATGATTTTTAAAAAGTTTTCTATTATTATTATTATTATTATTATTATTATTACTGATATTATTATTTACAAATTATTCACTTTGTATCCCAGTTGTAGCCCTCCACCCCAATTCATCTCCTCCTGGTCCCAGCCTCCCTCTTTTTTCCCTATCCCTCTTCCCTAGTCCACTGACAGGGGAAGTCCTCCTCCTACTTTCTGACCATAGCCTATCAGGTCCCATCAGGACTGCCTGGATCCTCTTATTCTGTGGGCTGGCTAGGTCTCCCCACCAGGGAGAAGTGATCAAAAAGCAGGCCACTGAGTTCATGTCAGAGACTGTCTCTTCTCCTCTTTTACTAGGGAACCCACATGGAGACTAAGCTATCTTTGGGCTACATCTGACCAGGAGGTCTATGCATGGTCTTTGACTGATGCATCAGTCTCCTCTGTAACCCCTGGGACCTGTTTTTTTGTTTTGTTTTGTTTTTTGTTTTTTTTTTTTTTTTCCTTTCTCAATCTCTTTGTGTGGCTCCTGTCCCCTCTGGGTCCTTTTATATCCCCCTTCTTCCATAAGACAACCTTCTCTCCGTCCAAAATTTTGGCTGAGTCTCTGCATCTGCTTTAATCCCCTGCTGGGTGGAGTCTTTTAGAAGACATCTGTGGTGGGCTCCAGTCCTGTTCCCTCTCTTTTACCATTTCCACTGTCTATCCTGTTTGCCTTTCTCAATGAGGATTAAGCATCTTCCCTAGGGTTCTCCTGGTTGTTTAGCTTCTTTAGGTCTGTAGATTTTAATATGTTTATCATATATAATATGGCTGATATCCACTTCTAAATGAGTCTATGTATCATGTGTGTCTCTCTGCTTCTGGGTTACCTCACTCAGGATGATTTTAACGACTCTGAAATTCCATCTCACACCCATCAGAATGGCTACGATCAAAAACTCAAGTGACAACACATGCTGGAGAGAATATGGAGAAAGGGGAACCCTCCTCCATTGCTGGTGGGAATGTAAACTTGTACAAAAATTTTGGATATCAATCTGGGGCTTTCTCAGAAAATTAGGAATAGTGCTTCCTCAAGATCCAGCTGTACCACACCTGGGCATATATTGGAAAGATGCTCAACCATACAACTAGAACATTTGCTCAACTATGTTCATAGCAGCTCTATTTGTAATAGCCAGAATCTGGAAAAAAACAAGATGTCCCCAACCGAAGAATAGACACAGAAATTGTGGTACTTTTACACAATGGAATACTACTCAGCAATTAAAAACAAGGAAACCGTGAAATTTGCAGGTAATTAATGCTTTTAAAGGTCCTTACAGTGAACTTTTTTTTAATTAAGAATGAAAACTGTAGCAACTTTTAGTTAATTTTTTGATTACAACAACAAAATCATGAGTCATTATTCAGAAAAATCATATGTTCAGTATAAAATTTAAAAAAATAAAATACTGTTTCACTAGATCGCAGTCATTGCACTAAATAAGTTTAGGCTGAAATGAGATATCAATCTTTATTCTCCAAAGTTATTCCTCAATGATAAATGAGGAAATTTTTGCTATAAATATCTAGAGTGTTGTTGAAGATAAACGTAGCACTGTGCCTCTGCTTCTCTCCTGTTAACATCGACAATAACTGTGACCTTGACTGACTTCTGGGATTAACTATAAACAGCTTCATCAGCAATCAAAAAAAAAAAAAAGTCCTGCAAAATAAGTAAGTGGCTTCAGCATCTGTGAAATGAATACTGACCCCTCCTTGATGCTAGTGACAATGTCAGGCATGAGGGTGTATACTGGATGGACAGACATGGAGAAGGTCAGACCTGGCATAGCCATTCCCTCCTAAAGTCTGCATCATTTACCTGCTTTTCTAGACATTTAGTACAGCTTCAAATGCAGAAACATACTTTAGATGAACTTGTGGAAGAGTACTGCCAAGATGTCAACTTGCCTGTTGGGAACACAAAGCCAACTGTTGTTCTAATTTCTCTGCCTTTGCCACCTTTCAGGCCTACATGCACATGAACAAGCGCACTGCACGTCCACACAAGCACTTTGCACTTAATGTTTTGTTTACTTAACAATAAAATCGAATAATCCCATCCCTGCCCTTCAGCTGTCTCCTCAGTCTACTTCCCGGGACAATATTCAAAATCTACCTCCACTTCCTCAGCCTTCCCACCATGCCCCTCTCAGGACCCATCTCCATATATTCAGTCCTTCAAGGCTTTTAATTCTACTTTTTATGAAGTATATGGAATTCAAAACCAGATCTTTCTCACAGAAATGATTTTTTAACAATTCGAATCATATAAAAAAACATCTTCTTAGCATGTCATTCTTCACAGGAAAAGATGATGATAATCAGCTCAGTCTAGAATCAGTTTTATATTTGGGTTTTGATCCACTGAAGGACTCTGCATATATATAATTTCAAAAACTGCCTAGAGGCAATGATAGATTTGAAGCCAAAGTAGCAAAGTGTTTAATATATAAACAAAAAAAGATGTTGAGTAAGTGCTTACAGTAGAAGTTAGACTACCTTACGAGGAATAGAAAGAAGCCAGGATAACACAAAAGGAAAGTCCTGAAGAAGACAAGTTTCAAATAAGGATGGATGCGCACTACCTGTGTTTCTTGTCCATTGGTACCCAGAAGACCCCATCTCTTGCAAACACCCTGTCTGCAACAGGTCCTTACCATCACTACGACTAAAAGACAGGTGAAGTCACAGTTCCCAGTCATAACACAGGTGCAAGATAAAGCACCTTGTTGAAGGGATAAATTAGTTCAAAATATGATTGTGAGAAATAGTATACTAGTCATTTTTCTATTGCTGTGAAGAGACATTGTGACCAAGGCAACTCTCATAAAAGTGAGCATTTCATCATGCACTGGCTTATGGTTTCAGAGGTGAAGTCTGCCATCATCATGGTGGGCAGCATGGCATGATGCTGGAAAAGTAGATGAGAGCTGTGTCCTGATACTCAAGCACAGAAGCAGAAAGACTGGGTGGGCCTAGCATGGGTTTTTTGAAACCTCAAAGGTCACCCTACTCCCCCATTACACACTTTTTCCAACAAGGCCACACCTCCTAATCCTTCTAATCCTATAAAAGAGTTCCACTCCCTGGTGACTAAGCAATCAAATATATGAGCCCATAGAGGCCATTCTTATCCAAACCACCACAAATATAAATATTTGCAATATGGAATTTACAGCATTATTGTCTGGTCATATTTTCCTGACTTCCTCCATAAACAAGTATTGATAATCTTCGTAAGGAATGGGTAAGGGTATGAGGACATACAGATGAAACATATCTCTCACATTAGGAACATCATAATTGGTCAGCTGAGTGTGGTACTGCTCAAGCAGAGGCAATTGGATCTCTATATCTTCCATATCCGCCCACTCTACATAATTGGGTGCAAAGGCCAACCAAGGCTATAGAGCAAGACCTTGTCTTAAAAGAATCTTGAAAGGCTATCACAACCTAGAAATCTTGAAGGGCTATTATCACCTATTTATTAAGTAAATAAAATCTATTTATTAAGTAACCTATTTATTAAGTAAATAAAAACATTAAATACAAAGTGTGTGTTTGTGTGAGTGAGTGAGTGAGTGTGTGTGTGTATATGAGAGTGTGTGTGTGAAAGGTTGTATGGGCAGGTTATGATATTAAATACAATAAAATTAGGCTATGATAGCCTTTCAAGCTTTTCCTTTTGAGACAGGGTGTTACTATGTAGCCTTGGTTGGCTTGCACCTTGTTCTGTATACCCGGTTAAGTTACATACAATTAAAAATAACTCTGTATAAAGTCAGAGGTGAGAGCGAGTCTCAGGAGAGTAATGGGCACAATATAAAGGAAGAGGGGTATTAACCGTTCCTTCTCTCAAAGAAGGGGAGCATTCAGAGAGAGTGGCTGACAAGAACATGGGAAAGGAAACCTCACACAGAAGTATATCAGATGCAAAAGCACCAGAAGTACATGGTCCTTCCAGAGACACACAAGCAACTGAGCACAGCTGGAGCAGAGTAGGTGTGGGTGATGGTAAGACGACGATTGGGTAAGGGAGCTATGCAAACAGGTGCATTAAAATCCATTAAAAAGAAGTGATAAAACCATTGCTCCTGCAAAAATGTACAGAAGGACAAGATCCACACGTGCCCAGTGAGATCTTCCCAGCAGTCAACTAGATGATGGAACAGAGTGCTGAGAACTTAGACTGGAGATAATGGCCTCATGTGGAAACAAAATAGCCCAGACGAGAAGGCTATTCAGATTCATTTAAATGAGCATTCCTTATAACATACACAAGACAAGAAAGGCAACCCTATCTCATAGTGATTTCCCTGGGAAAATAGGGAGGGAAAGGAAAGGCTATGGCCTCCCATCTTCCTGGTATCAGGAGGCTTACGAAGCATTCCAATCAGACTCAGATATCAGCAGTTCATGTCTTTGCCTGCATGGCCTATTTGACACAGGCAACATCATCAAGATGCAGAACAGAGCCAGTTTCCCTCCAGTCAATGAGAGCAGGTTTGAAAATGAACATACATGCAATTAGGGGAGAATAAGTCAAGAGCAAAAGAAAGGTTGGTGGGCAGCTGCAGAAGTCAGCAATAACTTCGTGTTTCTGTCGAGAGCAATAGTTCTCAACTCTCCTAAGGCTTCAACCCTTTAATAGTTTCTGTTGCGAACAGCCCATCTACAGCAAGTGAGTAGATGAGTTAGGGGCTCGTGTGGAGGTGAGAATGACAAAAGGGAGGGAGGTGATGTGACTTTGAGTCACCACATCACTCTGAGGTGCACTCCTGGGATCTGTGAAGGGCAGAAAACGGTAGCAATTGGATGCATAGTTTAAAGTTCCTAGGGATCTAGAATGAAACCAGAGCTAATATGAAAGCCAATTACAACCTGAAACCAAGTAGAGGAATACACAAATGAGATGGCAGAATGGCTTTTAAAGTAATTTTTTTAAATGCAGTTTTAAAAACAGGTACTAAAATAACAAGAGCCACACAAGTAGAATCACTACGAGCAAGTGACGTAGAAAGCGATCCTTTCCTTCTGGGTGAATTAGCCCTTAACTGTCTGGAAAGAACAGTTTATGAAAGGAAACTTGTTACTATGGAAACAGGCTTTCAATATCAAACAGGAAGCTTGACCACAAAAGGGTAATTACTTTAGATTTCCTCTTAGTTTTATGTTTTCTTGCATTTCAATGACTGCACACCCATTGGTCAGAAACGCCCAATGGGCGAGGGCTGAGGGGAGCCAAAGGATAGGTGAGGGTCTCCAGCTAAGTCCCCAGACGTTCTGGGCTTTACTGCTTTGCAATATCAGAGTGTGAGACTCCAAACTCAAATAAGTATTCCAACTTTTCCCCCATGGAAAAAATGTCCTTAGTCAGGAGCAGGAGAATCTCGTGTTCTCTGTCAGTCTTCATTTGAGGGTACAGTTCGAGTCGTCAGCTGTATGAAAAGAGTAAATATATCATATTTAAAGAAATATCAAAATGTCAAAATATTATGGAAGTCCTTATGGTATCGGTCTCTCCTTTAGTTTATTATTCCACATTGTCAATCTCAGAGCACATTTGTGCTAAAATAAAGTCACTAACCTTATCCAGAAAGGCATGCAGAGCTATTTCCTGGCGTTCCATATCAGCAGCCTGCCTGTGCCTCCCAATGGAGGCAATTATCTGTGTCTCCTTCTCCAAAAGTTCGCACAGAGCAGCCTTCCTTTCAGCTTGACTCAAATACTGGTCAATTTGTGCAAGTTCTTCTTGCCGCCAAACTAAAGGAATGACATGAAAAGCTCTTGAGTTGTCAAAATTCACTGCTTTTAAAAGAGAGAGAGAGAGATTTGTTTTTATTTTTAATGGTGGCTGTGTGGGTGTGCACGTGAGTAAAGATGCCTGGGAGGCCAGGTGTGTCAAATCTCTTTGGAGCCAGAGCTACCGCTGGCTGTAAGCCGCCTTATGTGATTGCTGGGAATCAAATTCAGATCCCTGTTCACCAACACGCAAAACAGCTTTGTCACACTCTTAACTCAAGGGTGTTAGGGTTCCTCCCGCAGCCTCTTTCAGTGACTTTTTCATCGTGTACCAGTCGCACACCATCCTCTGACCTCCTCTGCTCTTTCTCCCTGTTCTTCGTCACTTCCTGTGCCATCTTAGCACCTGCGTCTCTGAGGACCCACACTAGTAGCTCTATCGAGAACAGTTCGCATGACTTATCACGTTTATTGCATCACTGTCTATTTCTCACGAAACCCTGAATCACATCACCAAATTTTAAGGAGTAAACTTTATAGAGCATTTACTTCGTAATCAAACCGATGCATTATGCTGTGACAAGCTTTAAGTTATTTTAAAGCACGGGTCACTATAAAGATGAGGCTGCATGAACATATCCCAAGATATGTCATAAAATTCCAAAGAGCAATAATTTAGTGAACTCATCATATCTAAATATCGACCTATATCATTTATGAATTTATGAATTCATTTATGAATTTCTACATCAAACCTCAAACTTAAATCAAAATTTCTAGGCGCAGATATGTTTTAGGTAGAGGTTCTGTTCAAATCCTTATGCAAACTAAATTTGGGGAGGAATATTCTTTTTCATTTCACATTTCAAAAATGTCAGGCTTACACTGGCAGAAGCATAAGATAGGAAATGACCTTAGAAATTAAATTGCTCAGTCCTACATTTGATCACGCATCCTCCTCTCAGTGGCTTGGACAGGAATAATTTGTCTGCCGCAGAACCAATTTCATGAGCTACATTCCATCCCTTTGGGCAGCTGAAGGTAGTGTCATGTCTCTTTTACATTTTCCCTTCTTGAAACATAAACACTTTCATTTCTAAATTGTACATTGTATGACATAATTTCCTCTCACATCTTGGTCAACCTTTTTCTGTTTCCTATCACTCAAAATAAACTGCCAAACTTCTGTCAAGACAGAACCTTCTGCGCAACCTGCCACACGTGCTCCTGACTCAAGCGACAAAAAGTATGAAGAGAGAAACAGATATGTGAAGCAGCAATAGAGATAAGAAAGGAACTTGATGTACCAATAGCGTGCAGATCTCCCAGGAGATATAATGAAGATTTGGGTGAATAAATTGAAAATAAACTGTCCCCAAGATATGCAAGCACTGTCCCCAAAACAATTAGTGTTCTCTCAGAAAGTGGGTCTCATAGAAGAAGGCTGTAAGTCTCAGTTTCCTTGAATGGGAGCTAGAGGGAAGGGCAGACTTTGAAACCATTTGATAGTAACCATGCCAAAAAAAAAAAAAAAAAAAACCTAAAGAGAATGTTTTAAATTAAAGTTGAAAACAGTGGTAACTGTGTTGGTTTGTACAGGAAGGAAAGAAGGAAGGAGGGAAGGAAGGAAGGAAGAAAGGAAGGAAGGAAGGAAGGAAGGAAGGAAGGAAGGAAGGAAGGAAG